TCTCTCCCTTCTCTCTCTCTCCCTCCCTCCCTTCTCTCCCTCCCCCCTCTCTCTCTCCCTTCTCTCCCTCCCTTCTCTCTCTCTCTCTCTCCCTCCCCCTCTCTCTCCCTCTCTCCTTGGAGGCTGCCAGGGAGGTAACGAATTAGGGAGACCTGTCCAGGTTCATTCCTCCCGTTGGTTCCTGGATGGATGGGAGAGAGGCAGGACACGAGGAAGGGATGCTTCCTCTCTTTCTTTTATTGCTCGGATTTCGTGCCTGCCAAGGTTCATTAGCTTGGAAGGATCTCACCACGAGCAAGAAAAAAAAAGGCCAGAGAAATTCGTCTTCTTTCACGGCTGCCTTTAAAAAAAGAGTTCCTCGATTAATGAGCCAGCCAGGAAAGGTAGAACAAAACGGAGAGGAGAATAAATATGTAGGAATGAAGAGTGAGGTTGTCGTTTTTTTTTTTTTAACAGAAAGATCTCGGCGGGGAAGAGATATCAGAATGATCTTCTTGTTCCCCGTGAATGGCACCAGGAACCCATTAAATTTAATGAAAGGGCGAGCAGGCACGGACCAAACTCAAAACGCAAGCTGTAATCTTCCCTGGAGTAGGAAGGGAGGCCAAAGGGAGAGAGAAGGGAGGGGGAGGGACAGAGTTCCTTTGGGGGTTTGGGGGAATTCATCCCAGGTGGGGCACATTTGTTTCTTTCCCTGGATCCATCCTTGGCAGCATTAAGATCTGTGGACTTCAACTTCCAGAGTTGAGACTCTATGCTGGCTGGCGAATTCTGGGAGTTGACGTCCACATATCTTCAAGTCGCCAAAGTTGGAGATCTCCCTCTCCAAAACGGTCTGCTGGACCTTCTTCAATTCTTTCTAAAGCCACCTCACCAACAGCCACGGAAAGAGGCAGAGAACCGATGCCCGGATACCCAAAACCTTTGGGATAGACCTGATTATTTCTGCAGGACCCCGTCTCCCAACCACCCACCCGCTACCCAGGAAGGCGGCTTCTGGACCCTTACCTAGAGTCACCTCGGACTGCATGGGCATAGAGAGGGCGTCGTGCTTGACCTCACAACTAAAGAGCGCGTCATTGTCTATCTGAGGATTAAGGGTCCACATAAGCATGGCCCGCACCTCCACGGTGCCGTCGCTGATGGGGATGTGAGTGTGGTGGAAGAAATACATGGGATCGGCGTTCTGGATCCAACGCGGGAACTCCCGGCTCACCACAGTCTCGGGGATATTCTCAGTCGTGGGGTTGAGCAACAGTCCCCAGTCGGGAGTGAGGCCTTGGAAGGGGTCCTCGGTGTACAGCCTCCCGCCCCGGTCCTCCATGTTCAGCAACGACAGGGACCGCTGCATCTTGGTGTCGTCCAAGTCCCGTTGGAAGAAGTTCCAGGCAGCTCGGCTGTCCTGCAACCCGGCGGCGTTGACCGGCGGCTCCGTCAGCGGGACCCCCTGTATCAATTCTCCATCCCTTTTAAAGTAAACCTGGAATCAGAATATGACGAGATCTGGAATGGTTGGTACAATTGGCTAGAAGACAGACGTGAAATTAATAAAATAAAGTCGAATAAAATGGTACGTCGGAAACCAGTAACGCTACATGTCATTAGATTTGTAATATGTAATTAGATGAAACTTTGTATTATATGTTTGAAGTCACAACCGTGAATGAATATTTTACACAATTTGAGAGATGTCAGATTGAACACTGTTTGGCTTAAGTTGCGATAAGATGAACGTTTGATTTTACTGTGTTTGTATACATTTGTTTAATCAAGCCTTTTTATAATAATAAGAATAAAAAAAAAATTCTGGAGGAGGAAAATGTCGAGAGATGAACAACACTTTTCCTTCCCAGTTGATGATGTTATGCACGGTCTAGAAAAGTATAGAACAGGTTGGAGCTGGTTCTCCAAACGACTCAACTGCAGCCCTCAACGTACAACCACAATTGAGCCCAAAATGCTTCGTGGCTAAGCGAGACTGTCGTGAAGTGACTTTGGCCCCATTTTACGACCTTTCTTGCCACCGTCGTTAAGTGAATCAGTGCAGCTGTTCAGAGAGCAACACAGCTGCAAAGAGGATCCTGGCGACCATCGTAACTATGAGTCGGTGGCTAAGCACCTGAATTTTGATCACAAGTCACCCCTTTTCAGCACCGCTGTAACTGCAAATGGACATTAAATGATCTTTTGTAAATCGAGGGCTACCTCTACGTCCCTGAGCAAGATTTTAAATTCTTTCATTTCTTTTTTGTTCCTTGAGAAATGCCTGACTGGGGAGAGCCGATTTACAGAAACGAGCCCCAAACGTCTCCCCAATAAAATAATAATCGCAATAGCACTTAAGACTTATATACCGCTTTATAGTGCTTTCCAGCCCTCTCTAAGTGGTTTATACAGTCGGTTTATTGCCTCCAACAATCTGGGTGCTCATTTTACCCACCTCGGAAGGATGGAAGGCTGAGTCGACTTGGAGCCTGGTGGGATTTGAACTGCCAAATTGCAGCCAGCAGAAGTAGCCTGCAGTACTGCACTCTAACCACTGCGCCACCGAGGCTCTTGAAAAAGTTAAGACCACATTGGGTGGAGTGTGGACTATCAGGATGAAAATTTAGGGCCGGTTCAAATTCAGGACAAAAGTTTTATAAGAAACCAGTTCCTCTAAAACATACTATGAATGGTTGCAGGGACATGGCTAGTCTAGGGAAGAGAAGGACCAGGGGAGACAGGAGAGCAGCCTTCCAAGATTTGAGGGGTTGCCCAGAGAGGAGGAAGGGGGTCAAGCTATTCTCCAAGGCCCCCAAAGGCCAGAAAAGGAATAATGGATGGAAACTGAACAGGGAGAGATTCAACCTGGAAATAAGGAGAAACTTTCTGACAGTGAGAACAATCAACCCATGGAACAGAAGTTGCCTTCGGAAGTTGTGGGAGCTTCATCACTTGAGACTTTCAAAAAGAGACTGGACTGCCATCTGTCAGAAATGGTGTAGGGTCTCCTGCTTGGGCAGAGGGTTGGACTAGATGGCCTACAAGATCCCTTCCAACTCTGTTAATCTGTTATCTGTATCTCTAATGTGGGAAACCAACAGAAGCCATTGGTGGGATTCTAATTTTTTTTTTATTACCTGTTCTGTGGGCGTGGCTTGGTGGGCGTGGCAGGGGAAGAGATATACTGCAAAATCCCCCTTCCCTCCCCCACCCCACTAACCTGCTTTCCAGCTCCGTTCTCCCGGGCAGGGCAACCCAAGAAGACTCAGCCGATCAGCTGGGACTCGATGGGAGGCAGAGAAGAGAGATGGGGTTGGCTGGGCCAGTCAGAGGTGGGATTTGCTGGTTCTCCCAACGACTCCAAATGACCAGTTCTCCAGAACCGGTCAGAACCTGCTGAAGACCCACCTCTGAACAGCACCCACCTGGCACGGAAACCCACTGCGTTGGCGGAGATGTCTACACCGACGAGATTGCGGGATGCCACGGGATGCGTGTGTGGTCATGTTTGTGTAGCTGGAGCCGTGAGGAACGCAACGCTTGTTTAAGTCCTTTGGAATGTCTCTCTGAAGAGAAGATTGCCTTGCGTCCCCCCCCCCCCAACCCCCCCCCCCTCTTTTCATGCTTCTGATGTCACCCTGTAATGAAACAGCCTTGGGAATGTTTGCGGATAAGTGAGATTTTTTTTTTTTTTTTTAAATCTTTCCAGGTGGAGAGATAGAAGCAGCTGCCAAAAGCTCTGTTCCTCGCTCCTCCTTCTCCGTGGGTTTTTCTTTCTTCTTCTCTCCAAATGTAGATGTTTCCGACTTTCCGAATTAATTAGCAGAAATGATTCTCGGGATGCTTAGAATGCAAAGGCTTTCCCCGTCACTTCCCACCGTCTCGCAGCATCCTGTCTGTTCGTATAAAAACAATTCACTAGGATGAACATGATTTGAAAGGGTGGAAGGAAACCAAACCATGGGAAGTCTGTAGAGATTCTCAGGCATCCAAGTCATGGTTATCCCAAAAGGTTGTGCTTTTTTTGTGTGTTCAGGAGGCAATTGGACTTCCTTGGTTTTTCTCTGAAGAGGTTTCACTTCTCATCCAAGAAGCTTCTTCAGCTCGGACTGGATGACGGCGGGGAAGGGAAGGATCTATATTCCTTGCAGACAGAGCTGGTCGTTTGCATCCTTTTTAGAGGGTCGTTGAGGCCGCTTTGTCCTAAGGGGTCACTTGAGTAGTGTATCCTGGTTTTTGTAGTCTGCAATTTTTCCTTTGGAAATCCCTTCCTTCTCCTGCATCATTCCAAGGGTGCTCATTCCAAATTGTAGGGCTAAAAGTCTGCAGAGATTCTCCATCATCCAGGTACGGTTGTCCCAAAGGTTCTATTTTCAGGAGGCAACTGGTTTTTCTTGTTTTTTTCTTTTTTCTTTTGAAGATATTTCACTTCTCATCCAAGAAGCTTCTTCAGCTCTGACTGGATGATGGTGGGGAAGGGAAGGATTTATATTCCTTGCAGACAGAGCTGGTCGTTTGCATCCTTTTTAGAGGGTCGTTGAGGCCGCTTGGAGGTTTGTCTGTGTCCTCAGGGTCACCTGAGTGGTGCTCCTGGTTCCTGTAGTCTGCAATTTTTTCCTCTGGAAATCCCTTCCTTCTCCTGCATCATTCCAAGGGTGTCCATCCCAAATTGTATAGCTAAAACTCGGCAGTTATTTTCTGTCCTCCAGGTCATGGTTGTCCCAAAGGTGCTTTTTTTTCTTTGCAGCTGTCTTCAAGGAATATAAATCCTTCCGTTCCCCACTATCCTGTCAGAGCTGAAGAAGCTTCTTGGATGAGAAGCAAAACCTCTTCAAAAGAAAAAGAAACAAGGAAGTCCAATGGCCTCTTGAAAAAAAAAAAAAAGCACCTTTGGGACAAACCACGAGAAAAAAAAAACTCCAGAAAGGATAAAATATAACTGCTCCGAGGCTGTGCAGAAAACGATGTTGCCAAAAAAAAACCAAACCCCTCAAACTTTTAATAAGATAGTCCTCGACTTACAACCATTTGTTTACAGCAACAATGGCACTGAAAAAAAAGTGTCTTACACCCGGTCCTTCACCTTACGACCCGTGATCAAAATTTGGGCATTTGGCAACCGGCATACATCTACAAGTGGTTAAGTGAAGCAGTCTGTAACCCTAAGTTCTATACCTGCAATCGATTTGGTTTTTTTGTGTGTCGTACAGGTCACCCTTCAAGAAGTGAGGGGAGCCAAATGTCAACTCGTGAAACATTTTCTATGCCCGTTTTGTAGTTGCCAACAGAGAGGGAGGGAGAGGAGTTTGGGGGAGCAATGCAGCAGTTTGGGGGTGAGGGTGCATTCCATGCCTACCTTGCAGAGATTGTACTGGCCGACTGGAGTTTCTGCTGCGCAGATCTCTCGTTGGAGGGCATGATTGATGACTCTTGGCTGTGGACGTGTTACGTTGGAGGATATGGATTGTGGTGCACCCAGAGGGGTGGGGGGTGGGTCAGGGTTGGGGATGACAGCGGGTTGCGTGTCTCAGGGTCGGCTGCATACAGGTCTTGCCAATATGTCGCTGCTAATGAATGATTTGAAGCTTTTTGAAGTTTGGCTCAAGGGTCATGATTTAATTAGGGCGATCGCTGGAATCCTGACACAGTCCCCATTGTGGTTGGTAAGTGAGGAACGCCTGTATCCAGATGGATAACCACAGAATTGGGAGTCTTTTTTTAAAATCTCCAGATGGGAAGACAGGGGTGTCCATTCTCTAGGGATGCTCCTTGCAATATTATTATTGTTGTTGTTGTTATTATTGTTATTATTATTTTGCTTTAAAAATTGGGCAACATAAGGGCCTGCAGACTAAAACATATGAAGAACAGTGGCAGAAATGAATAGTCTAGACCAAGGATCTCCAACCTTGGCAACTTGAAGACTTGTGGACTTTAATTCCCAGAATTCCTTAGCCAGCTTTGCTCAGTTTTGCTGGCTGAGGAATTCTGGGAGTTTAAGTCCACAAGTCTTAAAGTTGCTACGGTTAGAGACCCCTGGTCTAGACCAGGGGTGTCAAACTCAAGGCCCGTGGGCTGGAACCGGCCCACAATGTGGTTGGATCCAGCCCACAGGGATGTCCTGGAAAATGTAAGGCAGGGGTCTTCAAACGTGACAGCTTGAAGACTTGTGGACTTCAACTCCCAGAATTCCTCCTCCAGTCATGTTAGCTCTGGAATTCTGGGAGTTGAAATCCACAAGTCTTAAATTTACCAAGTTTGAAGAGCCTTGATGTAATGGGCCAGCCCGCATCGCTTCGGCCCGGTCTACCCAATGTGAAGAGGAAACATGCCAGCAGTTTGGGGTGGCATCAAACTGGCCACACCCACCCCGTCGGCCATGCCCCCCCCCCAGCCCTCCCCCCTTGAGGTCAACCACAGCCTGATGAGCCCTCAATGAAATTGAGCTTGACAACCCTGGTCTACAGAAAAGAAGGATTAGGGGGTGACATGATAACAGTCTTCCAATATTTGAGGGGCTGCCCCAGAGAAAAGGGAGTCAAAATATTCTCCAAAGCACCCAAGGGTAGGACAAGAAACAATGGGTGGAAACTAACCAAAGAGAGAAGCAACCTAGAACTAAGGAGGAATTTCCTGACAGGGAGAACAATTAACCAGTGGAACAACTTGCCTCCAGAAGTTGCAAATGCTCCAACACTGGAAGTTTTTAAGAAGAGACTGGATAACCCTTTGTCTGAAGTGCTGTAGAGTTTCCTGTCTAAGCAGTTGGTTGGACTAGAAGACCTCCAAAGTCCCTTCCAGCTCTACTCTGATTGATTGATTGAACCCACCCCAAAAAATATTTGCCTGAGCCAATTGGCTTGAGATCAATTTTTAAAAAATCTGAATTTTGTAGGGATCATGTGTGCTCCGTCAATATATGTTGAATCCACCCTGTTTATGAACTGGGACCGAAGTGAAAACTGGAGACTCGTCTCAAGAAGATGGATCCATGCCATCATACCAACAGTCCTTATTTCAACACCTTGTAAGCCACAAAGGAGGTAATTAAAAGTTAAAAATGAGACAGGTGCCATAGCAAGATTTAGAGAAGGGAGATTCTTGTTTACCAAAACTTACCGTGGGGGCTGGTTTTCCACCAGAGACAAGGCAGACCAAGGTAAAATTCTGGGCTTGGTAGCGGCTGAACGGAGCCGGGGTGTCCGCAGCAATGACCGAGATGGATGTGGGAGGTGCTGGTGGGAGAAGGAAGAAGGTTCGTTACTCATCTGATCAACCATAAGCATCACATCTAGGAATGAGGTCAACTGGAGATGTTTCTCCAAGACTTCCTGGATCTTGAAGATCCTAGTGAAGATCCCAGGAACATCACATCTAGGAATGAGG